TGCAGGCATTGCACAATACAGGTACAGTTACACACATGCAGACAATACACTCATACACATAAAATAAAATATTAAAAAATTGAATTCCTACAGGTTTTCAGCATTAACATCTTGAGCCCAAGCCCCGTGACTGTGTCTGAATATTACTAACCTAATGGAGACTGTCTGAGCCCCAGGGAAACCCACATAGCTTGGGACTTAAAATTGCGTGTAAAATGGCCAAATGAAAGCACAGGGTATCCTAAGCATTAAAACAAAGGGTCAGTGAGAGTTGGGAAGATGGGCAGATCCTCTCAGAGAACACTTCAAAGTCTGTGGTTGTGTCAGGCAATAAGAGTGGATTTGAAACCATGGTGACAAAGAGGTGTATAATCAGCAGACACCACGGGTCACCTCTTTCCTTTGCAGAGTTTGGTGTGCTTGGCTGGGCTGCATGCCATATGAATAGACCTTTTTATTTTATCTATTTTATTTATTATTTTTATTTTACATGTATAAGTGTAATGCCTGCATGTAGGTGGGTGCACCTGTTTCATGCAGTGCCCAAGGAGTTCAGAAGAGGGCGTTGGATCTCCTGGAATTGGAATTACAGACAGTTGTTAGCTGCCATGTGGGTGCTGGGAATCGAACCTGGGTCCTCTACAAGCATAGCCAGTGCTCTTAACCGCTGAGCCATCTCTCCAGCCCTGGCATAGATCTTTGTAGAGTGACTGACTATTGCTATACTCAGCTACTGCAGAGCTCACAGACACACACTCTGGCTCTGCAGCTCCTGTTCGTACTCAGGCTTGAGCCTCTGACTGATCCGTCTGATGGGAGCTTTTATCTACTAAGCCTTTTCTTCATCTCCAGATCACTTCAGAGCTCTTCCAAACCCAGGCCTTTTATCCTTGGAAGTAAGCGCTTCCTCCTCGCAGAGAGCACTGTACCTTGCACTCCACAGCTTCTGATCCTAATGACAAAAATAAATAATTCCTTATCTTACTTAGGGCTTTCCACATTCACTCTCTTGGTTTATCCTGATGATGCTGTGGGGAGGGTTAGGGCAGGTGCTATCTGGAGGAGAGGACATCAGAGCACTTGCTCAAGGTTACACTGAGGAAGCGAGCCTATTCTGAAATGTGGTTCAAACACAGGTCCTCTGACCCCTGAGCAGCTTTAATGATGCCTTAGTGATAACAGCACCTTCGTATTCCCATTCCTGGTGTACTCTGATCTAGGATGGTCATTCAGGCTTGGAGGATCTCCTAGGAGGCTTGGGTACACAGAAGTCTAGATGGGTCCTGGATCATTGATGTCCGCTGTCCTAGTTATCTTTCTGTTGCTGTGATAAAACACTTTGACCAAAACCACTTGGGGATGGGGGAAGGGTTTATTTGGATTACCTGTCCTGAGCAGGATTAATGATCAAGCAAAGCCAAGGAAGGAGCTCGAGGCAGAAACCTAGAGGCAGAGGCTGAACCAGAGACCATGGAAGAGTGCTACTTACTGGCTTGTTCCCCTGGCATGTGCTCAGCCTGCTTTCTTATGCAACCCAGGACCACCTGCTCAGGAATGCATCACCCATAGTGGGCTGGGCCCTTGCATATCACTCAGCTATCAAGAACATGCCTCATAGACATGTCTACAGGCCAATCCAATAGAGGACGTTCCTCAATGTAGGTTCCCTCTTCCCAGGTATGTCAAGTTGACAACCAAAGCCTACCAGGATGTATGCCAAGAATCTCAGGGCTTCTTTGCAATAGAGTCAGTTTTTGTAGACAAGGGCTAGCAGCAAACACCAGTTGGAGGCTCTAGCAGCTTTCTTTTCATTTGTCTTATGATGGCTGGTAAAAAAAAATTTAATTCATGACAAGCAAGCTGTCATGCGAGCATGGAAAACGTCAAGAGTATTAATTGAATCAAGTAAAAATCAGAGCAAAATTAATATAACACATTTAATGATATCATAGAATTAATGCCCTGCATGGTTATTAGTAAACAGTTTATATGAATGACTGTAATTAGAATTGCTTTAGTGGAGCCAAATCCATTTTAAGTTGTTCTCCTCTCACTTTATTAGTTCTTCAGTATTTATGTAGTTGCAATTGTTGTCTAGAGTTTTCTTTGGTGCCATTTTCCACACAGCAGCTGAGTTTTTGCAAGCACAGAAAGATAACAAGACGAAAAGAAAACTATATCACTTCCTCAAAGTTCCTTTGAACCATGTCTGTCTCTGACCTTGAGGTGTCCCCATTCCATAGCACAGTCCACAGACCCTCCAAGATTTTCTCTTCATTGCAATGGGGGTAGCTGAGAACAAAGACAGCAAGCTCAAACACCTGTCACTTGCCAAGAAGTGATGTCTTACTCTTAGCTAAAAGGAAACTTTATACATCTGGATTCATAAAGGTGGCTACAGATGCTGAAGTTTTGGAGGACTGTCATCTTTTGATGAGTACACCCTGAAACCATTGTTTTATGACTGCTTCAACCTTCTGACCTTGAGGATACATTTTGAAGTGGAACTTAGAGACTGATGGTTTATGATGAATATTCCTGACCATGGCTCTCACACCAATTCTTTTGAGTCCAATGTGTAGATTCTGAAAAGCTGAGAGGATGCCAGTCAAAATCGTTCCTCCTCATTGCTCAGTCTGTGGTCAGACCCTCTCCCTGAAGGCAGAAAGTGAGGAAAGGGCAGTGACTGGGCTGTGGCAAAGCCTGGGGCAGTAGGGTCAAGGCTGGACCCTGGACTAGAGTCCCAAGTGGACATGGGAGCTGAGGGAAAATGATGAAGCACTCAGACAAATAGCTATATTTGTTCAGAAGTTTCCCAGTACCTCTTAGACATGAGCATGAGGGCTGTTTCCTCCATCATGAAGCATCGATTAATGAACACTACAGTGGGCTTGCCATCATGGAGTTTAGAGTGGCGGGTGACAAATGTTTAGGTGTGTGTGTATATTCCACGTTCGAAATGGTTCTTAAGAGCCACAACATCAAGCTGGAGTTTGTGGAGCCTGGAGTTCTCTTTCCAGGAGAAGGAAAGGACAGGAAGTGGAGCCTAAAGGGAGGATCTCGCCTCACGGCCAAAGGAAAGTTATAAAAGTGTGATTACCCAAAGAAAAGCAGCCAGTTTCTTGGCTAAAACTCATGGTGTCCTTGGGCCTCTTAGCAGCATACTCCATCCCAAAGGCCCAAAATGTCGAAAGTATTTGGGAGCTTGTATCTAACCCTTAAAAGATTTTAGTGTTACCTCAGAGGGGGGAATGTTAGAGTAGCCAAAAGCCCCATAAAAAATAAATAAATAAAAGAAGAGAAAAAAAAAGAAAAAAAAGTGATGGGGAGATATGGGAGGTGTTGGGAGGGAGGGAGTGAGCATGGTTTTGATCAAAACACCTTGTATGCGTGTATGACATTCTCAGTAAAGTTTTTGTAGAAGTTGAAAAAAAACTGGTGTGAAAAAAAAAAAAACTTCATGAAACTGTTACCCCATTGGAACACGGAATTTAGAATAATATGAATCTTGTTCCTGGGTCATGGCCACTCATATTTGGCTGAAGAATAAACTATCTCTTTTCCCCTTTGGAAAAAAAAAGTGTGATTACCATGGGCTCAGAGACAGCTCAGTTGGTAAAGGGACTCCCTTGCAAATATGAGGACCTGAATTCTGTCACATTTAAAAAAAAAGCCAGGCCTAATGGCGTGTGCTTGTAATCTCAGGACTGAGGAGGCAGAGACAGGCAGATCCCTGGGTCTCAGTGGTCAGCCAGCCTAGTCTATTTGGCCAATTCTAAGCCAGTAAGAGACCCTGTCTCAGAAAACAAGATGAAGTTATCCTGTGGAACGATACCCAGGGTTGTCCTCGTGTCTACATACACACACACACACACACACATACACACACACAGGGAGAGACACACACACAGACATACATACACACAAAACAGACACACACACACACAAACAAATACACACAAAGAAAAACAGATTCAGACACACTTACAGACAAAAACACAGACACAGACACACACGGACACATAGATACACACACATACACACACACACACACACTAGCTAGCACATATGCGCATACCTACTTACCAGTTACCTGGGATGGTTAATGTTTCACGAGATAACGTCTAGTTTTCAGGTGAAACTGCTTCACAAGGTCTTTCCTCTTAAATCTGGGCTTGTGTTAGGAGGGTCTATGATTGAGAGAGAAATGGAAATAGAAAGAGATCAGTCCCGAAGGCCTCTGAACCTTGTCTCCACTTCTTGTGGCTGCTCGCTTCTTGTCCTGTGGGCTCTTCAGTTAGGGAGAGGATGCTGAGAGTCAGAGCAGGAATTGGCACAGTAAGTGTCATCGCAGTGTTTAACCAGCATCCCCAGTCTCATGCTGTTGTCTGAGGCGCCGTGCCTGTGGGGACACAAGCCCCGCACAGATGTGGCTGTTTCCTTTGCCGCAGGTTGTCCTCATCATAGAATCTTTGGGAGAAGCAAGGATCATCCAATCTTAAGCTCACCCGTAATTTCAAAAAGGCTCTTCTGGTGGTGCAGTGTCACGTGGTGCTGATGTAGAGAGGTGGATAAAGCATCCAAACTGGAAATAAGATGCATCAAGACACTGAGCAGGAAGGAAATCCACAGGATGCATTTCAGCAGCAGAAGTAGGGACAGAGAGTCTACAGGAAGCCAGTGCTCAGAGCCTGAATAAAGCAGTCAAGGAAGATAGGTCCAGGTCAGCTTCACTGGAGAGCACGTGGGTGGTCTGAGAGTGGTGGTTGGGAGACAGGAGAGGGCCCAGGATGCCTTCTAGAACCACAGTAGGTACAGCTGGGCCTCTGGGTGCTGCCTGTCTGGTTAGGCGACCATGAAGGAATGATTATGCAGTGCATGCTTGGCTGACCTGACTTATGTAGTCACTCTACCACCCGGGTCTGAGCCCTAGTATGTGACGGTGGGACAGATGGATCTCTATGAGGGCCCCATCAGCTTCTCCTTTGCAACCTCTCTAGGAAAATTGCTGCTTATGATGAAGAAATCCAACATCTCTATGAAGAGATGGAACAGCAAATCAAAAACGAGAGGGAGCAGTTTCTCCTGAAAGTGAGTGTCCCCTCCCTGGATGAGAGATGGTCAAGTGACCTATCTACTCTGACCATCTTTCTTCAATGTAAAATTCCAATGTCCCCTGTGGTCCTCCTCTTTCTCTATTTTATTTTGCTCAAGGCATTCATCACCTTTAAACATAACATATAATGTACTTATTTATTTTTATTCAATATTGTCCATGCCTTCCTACTAACATGAAAGCTCTTTTGCTTACAAATCTGTCCTCAGTTCCTAGACCAGGCCTGAAATGTAGTAGATTCTCCATATGTATTTTCTCAGTCAATGAATGAATGAACTCAAGTGGATGCATGGATGGGTAGATGGATGGATGGGTAGAGAGAGGAATAGAAGGAAGGAAGGATAACTAGATGGATTGTTGGTGGACACACACACTCAGCCTCTTTACAACCCTGCTGTGTGCTTTGGGAAATCAGGACTGGTAAAAGAGAGGGCTCCTCCACCGAGCTAAGCTCCATTTTGGAGCATTCTCATTAAAAAATTTAAAAAGCTATAAGAAACCCTGCCATCCGCTCTTGGATGGTCTACTTAATGGATTCTCAGCAAACAGGCTGTTGGTCTTGAATGCAGCCTCTGCTGCTTCTCAGCACTAAGCAGGGGCTATTGTCTCCAGCTCTCCCCTTGATCCAGATTTCAATTTTCCACTGCTTTGGATTATCCACACCACTGCTCCACTTAGGATCACAGATGCCATTCACACTTCAGGGAATCAGAATGCTTTTCAGAAATATCTGCCTATGGCCTCCAGCCAGAACCACTGGAAGCTTGCCAGTATTTCCTGACCACCCCTATTGTCCTTCAGAGCTTTAAACCATCCTGCCCAGTGTTCAGGGAAATTGGATGTGTATGTGGCAAATAGAACTCACACATGTCCATCAGCAGACTTAAAAATAGCTTCCAACAACAGCAGTTATCCCTGAAATGGGAGAGCCACCACTTCATCCCAAATGACATACTGTACAGAGAAAGTTCTGTCTGGGTCGTGGCTATAGGTCAAAAGTATGCTTCCCGGCAGACAAAGGTAGACTAAGGCATGGGCTGGGAGTGGGCAGAGGTCAGAGGGGAAAAAGTAAGGACAAGTTAACATCACTTAATGTTCCAGCTTGGTTTCTGTTGCTGTGATAAAACACTAACTAAAACCGGACTGAAGAGGAAAGAGCACAGTACAGTCCTTTATGGAGAGAAGCCAGAGCAGGAACTCAAGGAGAACCTAGAGGCAGGAACCGAAGCAGAGACCACAGAGGAATGCTGCTTACTGGCTCACTCCCAGGATCTTGTTCAGATACCTTTCTTATATAGCCCAGGCCCAACTGCCTAGGGATGGCACTGCTCAGAGTGGGCTGCACTCTCCTTCATCAATTATCAATCAAGAAAACGCCCCACAGACAAGCCTATAGACCAGTCTGATGGAGGAAATTACTCCATTGAAATTCCTTCTTCTCAGGTGTGTTAAATTGACAACCAAGATTAGCCATCACATTTAAGACGATCTGGCTACGGTGCTGTGCCCCACTTCTTCTCTGTCTTTCTCAATTCCAAATCCCCAGCCCAGAAACTCCAAGGATAACTTTGGCAGTGCCATTAAGCCTTTAAACACACAGAATCTGTCTAGTCACAGTGTCACAGTGGGGATGCTGCAGTTTGTGATATCAAGGAAAAGACCAGAGCCTCTCACCAGGGTTTAGATGCTGGCTGTACACATTTCAGTGTATTTGACCATAAGGAAAGTATCCAATTGCTTGCCCCCTCTGTGTTAGTTACTTTTCTATTGCTGTGATAGAATATTATAATCAAGGCAATTTATAGAAGGAAGAGTCTATTTGGGTTTATGGTTCCAGAGGATTAGGGGTCCATTCACGGTGGGGTGGCATGGCAGAAAACTGCAGGCATGGCAGCTAAAACAGGAAGCTGAGAGAGCAAACTGCATGTGGAATTAGGCTATGAGCTCTCAAGTCCCGCCCCAAATGACATACTTCCTCCAGCAAGACCACACCTCCTAAACCTCTGTTTAGGAGGTGCTACAAACAGCACCACCCTCTGGGGACCAGGTGTTCAAATACATGAGCCTAGGGGGACATTTCTCATTGAAACCACCACATCCTCCAATTCTAGAATGGGAGATGCATCAGTGCTGTCCTCCACAGGGTCAATATACACGCCACTCACAGGGTCAATAATACACTCCACAGGCCCCATGGGAATGGGGCACTAGCATGGGGATTTGGAAGCCACTTGTTGGCTCTAGCACTTCTCCTGAGGCACCTGCTTTATGAGCTGCAGCCAGATGAGCTAATCAGGTCCTCTGCAGCTGATCCCCTTCAAAGTTGGAAGCAGGAACTGTCTGGTTAGACCTCTCATGGACCATTGCACACGGTTCAGATGAGGATAGGTGCAGGTCTTCCTGTATCTCCCCTGTTCAATGACCTGCCTGGACATGAGTAGAGGAGGTGGTAGCATCAACAGGAGAGTTGCTGAGGAAATGGCCTGAGCCTTTGAACACAGGGGGCCAAAGGCCTAAGGTGGTAGCATCAACAGGACAGTTGCTGAGGAAATGGCCTGAGCCTTTGAACACAGGGGGCCAAAGGCCTATGAGCCAGGAACAACTGTGTTCTTCCACTTGCATACTGCTGGCCATCTTGCCAATCCCAGTAGTCAACCAGTGCAGCACCCCACTGCTGGCTTCCTTCAAAGGCATCTCCCTGCAAGGGGGAATCCGGGGCCTCCAGGGGCTTGTGATGATGATTCTTTCTAGCATATTCTGCACCTCTGCTCTACCTTGCCACAGGTGAAGTGCTGCTGGTGGCAAAGGTATGCTGGTTTCCATTCTGTGGGTGGATGAACCAGAAGAATGAATTCAGCAAGTTAGTTGGACAGTGCAGGAACCCAAACTCAAGTCTCCCGATGCCCAGCTCAGGGGTTTTATACCGACTTGACTCTGTTTGGAATGCCAGACCTCTGGCATCCCCACACTGTCCTCTTTACTCCAGAGCCAGAGCCATCACCATCAGGTGAAGCCACACCATCAGGTGTCAGCTTCTCTGTGTGAAGAAGTCCAGACCAGGGTGGAGGGGAAGAAGGTGTTGAGGACAGGGTAGAGACATCATGAGGAGCACAGGCCTGGTACCCCAAATCCTGGTCGAAGAGTAGTGAGCACTCAAGACCACTGGAAGGCAGGAGTAATTCCCTGTGCTTTCAGAGAATGGGTGGTTTGAAGGACCAATGACAGTGCCCAGTCTGAACCAGAATCTCCAACTTGGAGGTTGTCTTCAATGTTATACTCCACTTTACAGCTGGTCTGAAAGTCAAACTCAGGCCCCCTCATCTCCCTAATCATCTCCACCACCGAATGGCCCTAGGTCATTGTTTTTGTTTTGTTTTTTAATGTGTGTGTGTGTGTGTGTGTGTGTGTGTGTGTGTTACAGTGCCATGGGAGTTTGCTAGTACCTCTCTGAGCACTGACTCAGTCTCATGAGTCCTTGGTACAGCAGGCAGAAGGGCCTCAAAGCTCAAAGGAACTGGCTCAGGTGATGAAGGAATTCAAATGCATATAGGACTTGTAAGTCAGGTGTGTTGTCTTTGGGCCCCACTGTCTTCTTCTGGCTTGGCAGGACACGGAGAGGTTCCAGGCCCGCAGTCAGGAGCTAGAAAAGAAACTGACAGCCAAGGAGCAGGAGCTGGAGAGGCTCAACCAGAAGCAGAGGAGGGTAGGTCACAGCAATCACGTCAAGGCCCCTGCTCTTCCTTCTAGCTCATCTCTGCCTCTTGCCCAACTCCTCTGACATCTACGCATGGACTTCTAAATTTGTTCTGAGTAGAACCACGTGTCTGCACAAGGTAACATTTAAAGTTCCAGGTGAGTTGAATGTGGTGGTACATGACTGTAAGCCAAGCACTGGAGAGACTGAGGCAGGAGGACTGTGTACTCCAGGACAGCCCTGGCTACATAGTTAGTCAGCCTGGACTACATAGTGAGACCCTGTCTCAAAAAACTAAAAAATATTTTAAATTTAAAAAGAGGTCACAGGGACTGAAGTGATGGCTCAGTGGTTAAGAGCCCTTACTGCTTAGTTCCTAGCAACCATATCAGATTTGGCTTGGCAGGACATGGAGAGGTCCATATCAGGTTTAGTTCCTAGCACCCATATCAGGTAGCTCATAAACTGCCTATAACTCATTTCAGGACATCTGACGCCCTCTTCTGGCCTCTGAGGGCACCTGTATGCATATGGTGTACATACAGACAAGCAGCCACACATAAATAAATGAATAAATAAATAATAAATAAGGTGCCTAACTTGGAGAAGTCCCCATGAACCCCCAACCCCTAGGGATCCACAGACAATTTCACATCATTGTACCCAACAACTTCCCTAAATGTTAGAACTTGGACCTGATTCCAGCACCCTGTCAAAGGAAGGAGGGAATGGAGAGCCCAGAGAAACTGGTATTTTAGGGGTGGTGCAGACATGTTTCTCCCTCTAATGTAGCCATGGACACCCCAAGCTGGAAGGGGTTCATCAAATAACTGACCACATGTCTGGATGGGGTCATGGCTTCCTGGTGACATAGACCTGCAGGCTGGGTGCAAACACCAACCACTCCTCTTGCTGCCTGACTAGGGAAACAGGCTGTTGGGTATGCTCTGTAAGGCAGTGGTCAGTGCTGGGGCTGGGGACACCTGGCTTACAGTGCCAGGAAGATTGGTTACCAGGGTAAACTTTGTACTCTCCAGCCTCCTCAGCAGAGCAAGGGCTCATGGGAGACAGGCCAGGGTGGCACAGGCCTCAAGTTTCATTTTGCCTGGTTCAGGAAGAAATCTAGCCCTGGACAGACCCAAACACATTGCTTCCTTTGGAACATAAGAAAACAAGCTTGAAGACACTCTTGCTCAGGCTGGGGATGCTGCTGCTGCTGCTGCTGCTGCTGCTACTGATGGTAGTGGTGATGGTGATGATGATAGTGATGGTGATGATGGTGATGATGATGATGATGGTGATGGTGGTGATAGTGGTGATGATGGTGTTGTGGTGATGATGATGATGGTGATGGTGGTGATTATGGTAATGATGGTGATGGTGGTGATGATGATGATGATGGTGATGATGGTGTTGTGATGATGATGATGGTGATGGTGGTGATAGTGGTGATGATGGTGATGATGATGGTGATGATGGTGATGATGATGGTGATGATGGTGTGATGGTGATGATGATGATGATGGTGATGATGATGTGATGGTGATGATGGTGATGGTGATGATGGTGATGGTGGTGATAGTGGTGATGATGGTGATGATGATGATGGTGATGGTGCTGATAGTGGTGATGGTGATGGTGGTGATTATGGTGATGATGATGATGGTGGTGACGATGATGATGGTGATGATGGTGATGATGATGGTGATGATGGTGATGATGATGGTGATGATGGTGATGATGATGGTGATGATGGTGATGATGATGGTGATGATGGTGATGATGATGGTGATGATGGTGATGATGATGGTGATGATGGTGATGATGATGGTGATGATGGTGATGATGATGGTGATGATGGTGATGATGATGGTGATGATGGTGATGATGATGGTGATGATGGTGATGATGATGGTGATGATGGTGATGATGATGGTGATGATGGTGATGATGATGGTGATGATGGTGATGATGATGGTGATGATGGTGATGATGATGGTGATGATGGTGATGATGATGGTGATGATGGTGATGATGATGGTGATGATGGTGATGATGATGGTGATGATGGTGATGATGATGGTGATGATGGTGATGATGATGGTGATGATGGTGATGATGATGGTGATGATGGTGATGATGATGGTGATGATGGTGATGATGGTGATGGTGGTGATGATGGTGTGGTGGTGATGATGATAATGTGATGGTGATGATGATGATGGTGGTGGTGATGGTGATGGTGATGATGATGATGATGGTGGTGATGGTGGTGGTGATGATGATGGTGATGATGGTGATGATGATGGTGTGATGGTGATGATGATGATGATGGTGGTGATGATGGTGTGGTGGTGATGATGATAATGTGATGGTGATGATGATAATGTGATGGTAATGATGATGATGATGGTGATGATGGTGATGATGGTGATGGTGGTGATGATGGTGTGGTGGTGATGATGATGGTGGTGATAGTGGTGATGGTGGTGATGATGGTGATGATATGGTGATGGTGATGGTATGATGGTGATGATGATAATGTGATGGTGATGATGATGATGATGGTGGTGATGGTGATGGTGATGATGATGATGATGTGGTGATGGTGGTGGTGATGATGATGGTGATGGTGGTGATGATGATAATGTGATGGTGATGATGATGATGAGATGATGATTATGATGGTGGTGGTGATGATGATGATGATGGTGATGATGATGGTGTGATGGTGATGATGATGATGGTGGTGGTGATGATGGTGATGGTGCTGATGATGATTACTGACCTTTCAGTCTGGACTTCTCTCTTTTCCACAGCAAGATTTGAACTCTGACATCTTCCAGCCATGTTCCCATTCTCCATTTACAGTTGTGCCTTGTCTTGCTCCTCCTTCAGCTCCTCACTGTTAAGCATTAAGTTCTTAGCAATTATATTTATCCCTCAAATGAACGATTGCCACTCTATTTAAGTATCACATGGTTGCCTGACCACACCAGAGCCTCTTGAGGGACTCAACACCTTCCTCCCCTCACTGGCCACATTCATTAACCACATTTATTATGATCTATTTGCCTGGTGTGAGTCTTCCTCTGGTGGGGCTTCGAAGACCTACAAAGCCTAGTCACCAGCCAAGAAAAGCTGAAGTTATCAAAATGCACATTTTTAAGTTGCTTTAGGGACACAAGAAAAGACACAGGATCAGTTTGACCTGGTTTAGTTTTTCCCTCTGAATTTTCAGGGACTATGGCAGCCAAACAAAACATTCTTTTAGTTGAAGGGAATTGGGCTCCTGTAGCTGAGGGAAGAAGAAAAATTGAATAAATAAAGTTCCTATCAGCATGCACCCTAAAGAAGGGTGGGTGGCTTTATGAAAACTGCCACTTAGCTCTTCTCTGTTCCCATTGAAGACTGAGGCAAAGAAATTGCCTTGGACGACAAAAAGGACTTAGATGAAGTCTCAAGCCCATGCGTCTTTGGGAGGGGAGATACAGACTGAAATTTCCATCGCTAGTATCCTATGGCATGAGACCATCCCAGGCCTATCTAACAGCCCCATGTGGAGATAGAAGGAATGGGATGACTTGTGAAAGTCCCTCCTCCCTGTAGAAGTTCCTCCTGGGAGGGAAGGAGCAAGTTTGAGGGCAGTGGGTTGTGGGGCAGTGACAGTTCCCACTCCGATCATCATCATCAGTCCTCTCTCCCCCACTTCTTTTGCAGTTGGAAGGCCAGTGCACAGCTCTGCATAACGACAAGCACGAAACCAAGGCTGAGAACACCAAGCTGAGACTCACCAACCAGGAGCTGGCCCGGGAGCTAGAGCGCACCTCCAGAGAGCTCCAGGAAACCCAGGAGCAGTTGGAGAGCCTCCAACAAGAGGCCCAGGAACTGCAGCAGGAGAAAGAGATGTGAGTCCTAGTCACTGCAGGGTGCTTTGCCTCCTGCTTCCTATGAGGAGGTCCCCTCCCAGAGACTTGTCTCCTGGCCTATGAAATGCAGAGTTGGGCTCCTTGCTCCCTGAGACTCTTCCCTCTCTCCTTCCCTCTCCTTTCCTTTCTTCAACAGTGCCTCACTATGTAGCCCAGGCTGGCCTTGAACTCCCTCCTTGCTTCAACCTCCTGAGTACTTGGATTACAGGCATGAACGTCACCTCCCTTCCTGATGCTCCCTGAGACATCTAACCCTCTTCAAGAATTCTGAGACTACTAAGCAAAGCACTGCTGGGCTAGGCATGACTTGGGGTTGACAAGAAGTAGCCCTGGTCTCCTGTCTTGGGAAATTTGTTATGCAATTAGAAAGACTTGCTATTCTACCCATGTAGGAGGCAGCCTGGGAAAAGGCCAAGAGAGCAGGTAGGTCTTGGGTGCCTGTGGTAGACTAGGGAACTAGAGCTTCAGATGGATGAGAGTAGAGAGGCTTTTGAGGTCAGCAGATCATGTGACTGATATGTGGCAGAGCCCTGGAACTGTCACCCCAGCCCTGGCCATTTTGTCCAGCATGTTACTCTGAGCAGACTATATAAGCCCATGAGGAAACCCCACACCTCTCAGGGCCTGACTTCTGTGTGTCACTTGTACTGTTCTTGGTGTCCCTCTGGTCACTGGGATGAGCCAGCTAGGCAGAGGCACCTGTGGCTGAAGGGCAGTCATTGAGCTTTGAAGCATCAGGTGTTTGAGCAAAAGACTCTGAGCTCAGGGCTCAGGGCCTCACTTGTTTATTTAGCCATTCTATTATTTTTGTATGTATGAGTGTTATAGCTACACATGTGTAAGTGCACTCATGTTATACAGTGCCCACAGAGGACAGAAGAGGGTGACAGAGCCCCTGAAACTGAAGTTACTGATGGTTGTTGGCCACCGTGTGGATGCTTGAATTTGAACCAAGGTCTTCTGCAAGAGCAGTCAGTGTTCTTAACTTCTGAGCCATCTCTCCAGCTCCTTAGCCATTCATTTATCCACATATCATTGACTTCCTCACCTGAAAAACACTTACTGCAAATGATTCCGTGCTAAGTACCATAAGCATGCCTCACTTGCTCTCACCCTTGTTCATCATGCTGTGTCCTTAAGTGGCTGGTGCTGTGATCATCATCTCTGATGGATAAATAAGGCTAGCAAAGTCCTGTATGCTAAGTGCTAATACATGTTGCTGACAACCCAGAGAATAGGAGCCAGGCACACCTGCACAGAGAGACCCCACCTCCCTTCATTCACTCATGTGCTCTTTGCTCCAGCGGGGTCATTGTGTGCCTGAGCTTAAAAAAGCATCAGGGAGCACCAGAGGTCTGATTTCCCAGCAAGGGACACTAGGATCAACCAGGGTTCACAACCAGGTGAAAGCCCTCCTCTGCGTATGTGACAGCAAGATTCTAGTACATAGACTGCAGCCAAAACGTTCCAGATGTTCCACTGCCATGTGGAGTCCCTTCCTTTGGGATGACTGCCTGTAAGGAGGAGGAAATGTGTTTGAGAGTTTCACCCTAGTAAGATATCTCTAGTTGTAAAACAAATAAATGACCCTCAAGTAGCTGGCTTAGAACAAAGCCCAACTCCCATCCAGGTGCTTGGATGGCCAGGCAGGACTACCACGTATTTCATTATAAACAGACAGACTCAGTTCCCCCTCACTGAGAGCAGGCAACAAGGCACAGATACTTGACTTTACAGACAAAATTGGGATTCAGGTGCTTCACGCTTCAAATCCAATCAAGCTCTCAAAGCCGCAAACATCTGAAGGCAGAAACATTAAGGCAGGGAATGGAAACTAACACAGCGTGGGGATCAGAAGCCTTTGAAAGTCTTACGTTAATTAACCAAGCCAGAAATGCAATCCCTGAAAAGACGGAGGGAAGAGGGTGAGGAGGAAGAGAGAAATAGGAGACCTGTTTGGGAGAGCTTGGAGCATCTTGTCGAACTATAGTGGACTCAAGACAGCCCTCCCACCCAGGGAGGCCAGGGATGATGCCCAGGAAGAGCCCTGAATGTTCTCTGGAGAAGAGTTTCAGACCAACACCACTGACAGCACCATAAAACTCCAATCCACTGCCTTTATTTCTTACTTAGGAAGAAACAGAGGCCCAGAGAGGTGTCACATAGGGCCAGAATAGGACCATAGCCTTCTGCTGCTGGTTTTCCTCTGTGTCCCTGGCAAGTGTCTCTCGATGCAATGATGCTTCAAAACTGATGGGAGGGGAGAGGGCGGAGATGGGAGGTAAACAGACTCAATCACTTATCAGCAAGAATTCCAAACAGACAAAATTAATTTTCCTATTCTCTGAAGACGCTGAAGGTAGGAAAACTAGATTTTAAAATGAGATAAAAGAGCTCCCAGGCAGCAAGATAACATAAAAATGAAGGTCAGCTGAAAAGCAAAGCCTCTGTGCTTATTTTTAATTAACTCTTATTTTGAAGATGTAGTCTATGACAAGGAGCTAAAGGATAGCTCTGCAAAAGGGGTCTGGCTCTTCCTGTGACCCCTGTCTCCTGTCACTCAGAAGCTACCAGCCCCAGCTTCCTGTGAATCCTTCTAGAGTCTGCTGTTCATGTGCAAACACATGCCCACGTGCATACACATGTATATGTACACACACATCCACACACAAATGCACACACACACACACACACACACACACACTTTCATTTCCTAAACAGCAATAATCCAGACACACTGTTCACTTTTCCTTTTGCAATTTTTCATTCGACAGTGTATTTGAGAATGTTCCATAGCTCATCTATTTCCCTGAGGGGAACTACAAACCTCCCACCAACCACTACAACAAAACCCATCAGATCCCTTCCTTCCTGGTCTATCACCCAGGGAGAGGCAGGTCCCCCAGATCAGAGGGACTTGAAAAGTCAGTCAAATAGCCAAGTGACTTTGATGCAAAATGCCCTTTGAGCTGGGCATGGTGACCTATGCCTTTAATCCCAGTATGTAGCTCTGTGAGATCTAGGTTAGCCTGGTCTACACAGTGAGTTCCAGGCCCACTGTGGCTACAAGGAGACCCTGTCTCAAAAAAATAAAAAAAAGTCCTGCAGTTAACACAAAAAGATATGTAATCAGATACATCTAAATATGCATACATATATATGTACATGTATCACCACAGATATGTGTTGACTAGACAAAAAACAGATAAACATGCATTTGAGTAAGTATGCCACACACATATGCGTCTGTTTTTGTGTTTCCTGGTCCTGTACACAGGGCCAGAGAACACCCAAAGGCCTTGAGACGTAGGTTTTTCAGTCAAACACTGAAGATGCAGACCTTGGCTCTCCAGTGAGCGGCTTGTCTTCAACGGGGGACAGGAGCAGGGGCTGAGCAGGGGCTGGGCAGGAGAACCACACAGCTGGTTACAGACCTGTCAGCAACCAGAGCCCAGACAGGAACAGGCAGGGCTGCCTGTGGCTTGCTAATCAGAGCAGAGTCCTACACAGGGGCTTGGGGACCCAGTGTAGATAATGGGAAATGCATTCTTTTCCCTTAAGTTGAAATTAAATATAATTGGTAATAAAATGTGAGGAATTTGCAGCTCTGCAGGAGCCAGCAAAGTTGTGTTTCTTAATTAGGATTGTCTGAACTGAACTTAGAATTTGATTCAGTTATGGTAGCCCAGTGACTTTGCAATTTTTCTATAAAGGAGGAAAAAGGAAAGAACACAGATACCTCTGAAGGAGGCATTGTTAGGCACTTGGCAGAGGGTCCCCAGGCTGGTGCTGTTGTTAACTCCTCCATGATGACACTGTGGGGTGGCAGAAGGATGACTAAGGTGACAGATTGATCAGGCTGCTGGATGCCCCCCAGCAGAGCCTGTTGTGCTGTGGAGATGGCGAACTCTGGATCCTTTATGGTAAGACTGAGGAACCATTTAGCTTCTGCTCTGAGGTTTGGAGAAAGAGGCAAAGATGAGGGAACTGTGGAGTTAATCAGGTTTCCCACTTCTGCCCACTTTTGCTTCATTCCTCCCTCCCTCCCTCCTCCCCTCTTCCCTCCCTCCCTCCTTCTCTCCCTCTCTCCCTTCCACCCTTCCTTTCCTTCTTTCCTTTTGTGAAAGGATGTCTGACAACCCTGCTGGTTTCCAGTAGGATGGTAGCTGAGATCCTCCTTCCCCTGTCCCCTGCCCATCTCCCCATGGCCATCATCACCCACCTGCTTTGTCTCCCCCTCACCCAGGGAAGTATACAGAGTGACAGAGAGTCTACAGCGGGAGAAGTCCAGCCTCCTGAAGCAGCTTGATTTCCTAAGGTAAGTCAATGCATCCCAGGTGCTTGAGTTGGAAAGACTGACTGGTCAGGGAGTCACTCCCAGCCTGCATACTGGAGCGACACTGATGCTGAGTGTGCCCACATTCCCCTCATCCCCAGTGCATGGTTTGGACTTCTGAGTACCACCTGCTAGAGGACATTGGGTTATTTATACAGGTGCCCACCTCCCTCTACAGTTTGTTCCTCTTTATGTCAGGCTCTGCCTCATCCATATGTTCTTCTGGTATGGGTCATGGTCTTTGCTCAAGCAAAGGAGTAGAACTGAATGGGGCAACTTACTCTCTGCTGAGTATACAATTCTACTTTTACCAAAAGTATTGAGTCGTCCAGTAGTGGTGAATGCCGAGTTAACTGAGAGAAAGTTGATATTAGAGAAACAAAGTCATTTGCCACAAGTGATGCAGAACTGAAATCCATGTCTGGCTGACTATTTTACCTCAGCCACGGAATGAGTAAATCAGTCACAAACAGGGCCAAGGAAGAAGTTTCTTTGGCCTTCTAAAACCCACTGAAATAAACTCAAATTCACTGGCCTGGAACATACAAACAAAAGCAAAATCAGAAGGGGAAGGTGCTGGTTCTGCCTGTGACATTTCCACAGCTGTTCCCACTGCCTGCTCCATGGCATCTTGGGGAACCGTGGTGACAGAGGGCTGCAGGCCCTCCTCCTTAAAGTACAAGTGGTTTTGAATCACTTCCGAGTGTGTTATGAAAGGTCTCGTGTCTGGTGTTGTGACAGCGAGGTGAAATCAGTATCTGGTATCTTTGGTGGTACCGGATTGAAAGAGCCACCACTGTTTAAGATGTGCTGTGCTCAGAATGAGACGAGCCAGGCATCTCCAGGAAGGGCGGCAGAAGGAGTTCTAGGTTGGGCAAGTCCACTGGCGAGAAGGCCTGTTGTACTCTTAGGAAGGCTGTAGGAATAGAACAAGATGTACAAAGACAAGGTTTGGCTTTCTTCTGTTGTACTTAGGAAAATGCAAATGGAAGGGCAGATCCAAAGAGAGTAAGTAGGAAAACATGGGCAAGACAGCGTTCCATGAATGGCCGGGGGGACCATCTTCTTAGAGGCTAGCATCTGTGCAGATGCACAGGCCTGAGCTCTGTCTGTGCCATGGTGTGGTTACTGAGCTTAAGCTAGGATGAGGGAAAGGGCATGGCAGATTTTCCCATCAGTGAAATCACCAAGAATCTAGGAGAGAGAGAATGGGGGGGAGTTGGGGGTGTGTGACATCAGAATGTAGGGGGTTGGTGAGACCATGACCATGGCTGGAGTGTGACACAGGAGGAGGGCTGCTGTCTAGCACAGGTCATGGCAAGTGAAACAGTTCCAGAGCCTTGGGTTAGGAACACTGGAGTGTGACACAGGAGGAGGGCTGCTGTCCTAGCACAGGTCATGGCAAGTGAAACAGTTCCAGAGCCTTGGGTTAGGAACATATGGTCTGCAGCAAGATTTGGTTCAAGACCGGGCACTGCCCCTAGTTGTCTGATGTAACTCAGGTAAGTGACTCAAGCAGTTGTCCTGATGCGTCTCCTCCATAACTCATGGGCTCTCTGGAGAACTGGATGGTATGTGTGAATGGAAATCTCAGCAGGGGGTCGTCTGGACACGTACAGTGTAGCATCTCTTTAACTGCTTCTGATACTCCCATCCAGAGAGGAAACTACACAGCATACTTTGCCATAAAGGGGTGACTTCCCAGGTCCACGGAATTCTCACTCAGGTTCAAGACTGCCAACTTGCTGCCCACCCAGCATGAGGGTCCTTCTGACATGAGACATTCACTTCACCACTCTTAGAGTTTTCCCTCCACACTCCACCCTTGGCCACCTGCAGATCACATATTGTTGGTCAGTGTTTTCAAGAATGGGAACATTTCAACCAGGGGCCTGCCTGAAATCGAATCCCATGGCTCACTATGTACGCAGCAGAGTGCCTGACCTAGTTATACCCAGTATATTATGGCAACACCCTGCACTATGATTATTGGTGCCTAACCACTGCTGAGCCTGTCCTTCCCCTTCAAAAGTATAGATTGGGTCACAGGCCGCTAGCCCACATTGTTACAGAATCCTACCTGGCCCCTCCTTCTACCCTCTTGCATTAATGAAAGAATCTTGCAGCCATTTGTGTTTACTGAATCCCACAGGCACTCCACACCCCCAGTCTGCTCACTTACCCACTTTACTCATTCATTCCCACCATCTGCATGTGTTCCCACTTCAGAGATGGCCAGAATAAGCACACAGAACTTGCTTGCTCTGTCACCAGTGCACACAGAGATGGCCAGAATGGCAACTCTCTGTGGCCAGTGCCCATGTCTTTGATTCCATGGATGTGGTGGGTGAGCCCCCCACCCCTGTGCTTCTAACAAAAGCTATCGTCGCATCATCCCTGTCACCAACCATGGTTCACAAACTTCCCTCCCCTCCTCCCACTTCAGAGATGGCCAGAATAAGCACACAGAACTAACTTGCTTGCTCTGTCACCAGTGCACACAGAGATGGCCAGAATGGCAACTCTCTGTGGCCAGTGCCCATGTCTTTGATTCCATGGATGTGGTGGGTGAGCCCCCCACCCCTGTGCTTCTAACAAAAGCTATCGTCGCATCATCCCTGTCACCAACCATGGTTCACAAACTTCCCTCCCCTCCTTCAGGTCTGCTTTTGCTTTCTCAAGGACTGTTCCAGTGCTTGGAGTCGCCCTTCTCCATGGTTACATCTCTCTTCTGGAGAGATCTACAGATGTACCGTAGTATTTCCTACCTAACTTCTCTTGTCCCATCTCCATCCAGCTGCCTCCCATGACTTCCAACCCATTCACAACAAAGTTTAAGAACATCTGTTGACTCTCTCATTCTGCATCTCTGTCTTCCCCTTCTCCATGCGCCATCCCAGCTTTCTCCCCAACCCAACAGTTCTGTCAGATCAGTCACTTAGGTCACCAACAATCGCTATCTCTTAAAAAATATCTATTCATTCTCAGGGCCCCACCTTTGTCTCTGGCAATTTATTCTTAGCAGGAGTTCCAGGGGGATCCTTTCAACGCTGAATCAGACCTTGGCACACTCTGCCACTCATTCTACCCCACCCCACCAATGGCCCCTATAGTTTCATGTCTCATTTGGACTGAATGAATCAAAGTTCTTACTGTAGCCCATGAGGCTATGAATGGGCAGGTCCTGACCCATCCCATTTATTGTTGTTTGACCTCATCTCTTTGAGTACCACATAGCCCTCCTTTCTGTTTCTTCCACACATAGTACACCCCCACCCCCATAGCTACCCAGCTCCCCTTCCCTCCCTCAGGTCTGCTCAGATATTCCCTCACCAGCCAGGCTTTCCATGCTTACTTGACTTCAAATGCCTGCACTCCCTAGCTTTTCTTTTCCTACTTCCCTGCTTTAGTTTTCAATAGCACTCATCCCCTGACTAACACATAAGCTCCCTGAGACCAGAACTTTGTGTCTGTTCAGCGTGGAGTCCCTGACACTGAACAACATTTGTCAAGCAATAATGTGTTCCAGGAGGTCTGTGAGCAAACACATGGATGCAGAAATGAAGGAACCTATCAGAGAAAGGGACCAGTAGCAACCCACAGGGAGACACGCCCCCCCATCCCCACCCCCTAAGTGCTCCCAGAGGGCAATATGTGTCACAAGACCATTCAGTCTTCTCCCCCTGCCTCTGAGCTGATTTACGCAGGAACTTTCCTCTGTCCTTAGCCACATACCTAAAGAAAGCGAGTCTACTCCATCCTTGGACCTTCCGTAGGAGGCTTTCCCTTACACCTATCTGACTGACTAATTGGATGCCAGTGGATCTGTCAACTGCAGATTCTGTGTTTGAAGCACTTCCTTTTACTATCCACAGGGAAAGAAACAAACACCTTCGGGATGAACGAGATATAAGCTTTCAGGTAACTGACCAGTGCTTCTTTGGGACCGGGGTCAGAGGGGTCCAGTGGTGACAATCAGCTCCAAACAGTCCTGACACTTAGAGTTGTGCTTGGACCGCTCTGTGTGGGCACAGTGAAGACAAAAAGTAAAAATGAAAGCTACAGCTAGGTAACGGCCTGTGGATTTTCCATGAAGGAAAACACCTTCCTCTTGGCACAATCAGACTCAAATATTGGGAGGGGGATGCACATTTCTTGGGTGCAGAAGTGAAGTGATAGTTCCATCCATGAGATGGTGCAGTTAAAATGTCATTATCGCTTGATGTCAAAATGCTCATTTTGTTGTTTCATTTAAATTTTCCTATCTCTGGATCAAAATTTTACATCTTTACACTGTCAGGGAGCAATGTTAAATAGCACATGTCATGATTTACATAGCTGATTTTATGAACTTTTTTTTTTCTACCCTACATAGACCCCTCTTCTCCTGTATCTGAGTATTGTGCTATAGATTTTCTCAAACAGCACATGTACAGGACTTCACTGTGGGACACACTAAAGAGAATTTGGGGTTCTCCACACTCTTCCTCATCTTCTCCTTTACATAGGAGCCATAGGATGATCTTAAGGGGAGAAAAAAATGGGGACAGGTTTGACTCATGTGACCTCTTAATTATAAGATTATCATGTCATGAACTTACGTGTCCCTGGGCAAGGCATTAGCCTCTATGGTTTACAATCCCATCTGTCACATGAGGAAAAGTAATTCCTGTCCTGGTTCATCCAGATTGTAAGACTTTTGAGAGAGAAAAAAAAATCTTGGAAATAGAGTGATGTGTGCTACCGCCTTGGCTGAGCAGTAACCTAAATATGGTCAGCCTCAGAGAGTTAGCATGCCCTGAATTAGGCTCAGCCTGGTTTATGCTGCCATCTTGAGGGACCTTGTTACGCCACCATTTGTTTGATGTCACCAACCAGTGGCAAACATCTCAGCCGTCCACCCACCTGTGTATGTTATGAAAGCAAGTTTTAAGCTTATACATGTTTGTTTGGTGATGGTAATGGTTATAATTAGAAGAATAACAGATTTTAAAAAATATTTTATTGTTTTTATTTTATGTGTATGAGTATATTGCCTGCACATGTGTGAGTGCACCTGTGCAATGCCGTGGAAGTCAGAAGAGGGTGTCAGATTCCCCTGGAACTGGAGTTAAGGATGGTTTATAGCTGCCATGTGGGTGCTGGGAATTGAACCTGGGACCTCTGCAAGAGCAGTCAGTGCTCTTAACTGCTGAGCCATCTCTCCAGCCCCTCATCACTGATTTTTTTTTTAACCTCCAACCAAATGTCATCCTAATCCCTTTCCCCTCACCTCTCTTTACCTGCCAAACTCATTCTGTTTTAAAGGGGATGGGGAGTGAAGAACACCAGTGAGGAATCAAAGAAAAGGAGATAAAGTCCCGTTGATACTGAATAATAATCAAAGATTCTCCTCAAATCATTAAAGCCATGCCCGCGCGGTGCTGGGAACACAGCAGCTCCTCCTCCTCTCATTATGGGTCCTCTGGAAGCAGGGGATGGCTGATTAATGAGGAACTCTTTCTCTGATCGACTCCCCCTCATCTCCTGGAAGACATCTCTTCTGGGACCAGGGCGAAGGTTCTGAGCCCTGATTCCACAGATGACCTGAGATAGCTTAGGCTGGTGTGGGAATGATGGACAGTACCCTGGGCTAACTGACCTTCTAGGCTGGCCCTTATCTCATAACTCAGGGGCCTAGAGATAGAGGGGATTTAAACTACAAAGAAGTATGTGACTTAAAGTGATTTAAAGCTTAAAGAAGCTTTTCATGCTGTGAGGATTTTCCTATGCATTAAATATCTATGTCCTCTTCTTTGACCTCTTGCAAATTATCAGCATTCTTGCAAAGAATAACACAAGAGGCCCCAGGCACTATATTTGTATTGGTTCCTTTGGTTGGATTATTAGAAAGGACATGGAAGCCTTCCAGTGAGTGGGGGGGGCGGCAATGGCAAAACAGCACGGCGAGTGACTGTGAATAGAGAGACCAGACCTACTTGTCCACTTTAGAGCCCTGTCTAGAGCCTTGCCTCATTTCTGCTCAGTGAAGGCGGCATGGATCTTAGGGCACATTGTGTTTCTGCAGAAAGATAAAGTAACCAAGGCAAACACAGCTGCTTCCAAGGCAAGTTGGAAGCAGAGATCTGGCTCTGTAATCGGCAAATATGTGGATGGCAGAGGGATGCTCAGGAGGTAAGTTGCCACTCCCCATTCTTCCATTCATTCATCTCCATCTCTTGGGAGCTAGCTCTCGGCCTACAATTAATGGTCCTTTGGGATGTGGCCCTAGTGGGAAGGCTGAGGTCAGACACACTCATTTGCCTTGAATCTTGAAGGATGTGGTCCTCTCTGCTATGGCATCCACGCTGCAAGGAGACTATACAGAGCAATGGTCTAGGACAGTCTCTGAGGCCACCCTGCCCTGGTCTAGGCCTCAGAGAAGGCCTGAAGTGTGCTGTAAATGAATTCAGGAGGAGAGGGAGAAAGAAGAGGAGGAAGAGGGGAAGAAGAGAAGAAAGGAGGTAGGTGAAGGAGGTGGAGGAGGAAGATGAGGAAGAGGAGAAAGGTGAAGAGGGGGAGGAGAAGGAAGAGAGGGCCAAGGGACTGATGGATGGTGTGGCTGGCCAGTATTCTGTTTCTGCTAAACGCTTGGTTTTCCTAGAATGTGGTTATATTGATTATGAACTTAATTAAAATGTCATATGTAGTCCCCACTCGCTGAAATCTTTTAGAGATGAGATTTGGTCTTGCGATTGGCAGTTCCAATGACTCACATTTAACTTACTCAAAGAACATGGTTTTTTGCTGCTGGACAGTGCATGAATTGAGTTTTGAGTGCTTAAAGGATTGGCATTCATACAGACTAGCCAGTCCCCTTCCCCCTCCTCTTTTGAGTAGATACTTCATCCATATGGATAGTCACAGAGAGAAGTAAGCTAAACCCACAACGATCAGAATGGGGGGGTGCTTGCACACATAGGAAACCCTGAAGGCTGCAAGCAGGAGCTGAAAAAATTTGTAAAGGGAAAGTGACTTTGGGGATGTAAATCAGCTCATCAGGGAAGCTCTGGGCTCTGAACATCATGAATTCACTCTCTCAGTATCTCAGTAATGAGGTACAATTTGGGAGCCAAATTTCTACAATGGTAGGTGGCCTGTTGGTTTCTTAGAACTCAACATATTCATCAGTTGAGTGATTCAACAGGCATTTACTGATTACCTACTTTTTCAAGTTCTGTGAAGGTTCCAAAGATAAATTAGACATGGGTCCCACTATGACTCTCCACTACATAATCCTCATTTAATAGATACATATCGAGTGGCCACTATGCACGAGGTACCGAGCCGTGGCCTGGATATGCAGTGGTGTGCACAATAGATCCTTCTCTGTTTCATGGACTTGCAGTCGAGCAGAAGAGACAGAAAATAACCCACTAAGCAACAAATTGTGCACTCTGAATTCCGGTATAGATTTTGGCAGATACAGCCACTTTCTCTACTGCTGGCAGAAAGCATTTGGTGGCAAAACCGAAATGAACTTAGACTCTCCAGGCAGAAACCATTACTGAAAGTCAACAGTGCTTGAGACATTCCCAAATAAAAAGCTTTTTACCAAGAAATGCTTCACTTTAGGGCCTGCTTAAATGACAACTATTTCTTTTCTAGCTGCAAAGCCTCTGGAGAAACATGTGGAGTGTGTGTGTGTGTGTGTGTGTGTGTGTGTGTGT